TGAGCAGCTTTCGGACCATCGCGACCGACGCCTACCCCAACGGGGAGACCGTCCTAGCTATGTGTACGACGAGAACACCAACAGCTACACCAATCCAGGCTATGAATCCATCGGCGGCGGAAGGCCAATCCGATGCGGAATTCTCGACCTGATCCCAACCAAGGGTGCAAGCTTCATCAACAATCGGTGGGACATCGTGAACGAAGTTGTCCTTCGCAACATCACCCGTCAGCGCAGGTTGAATGCGGATTGGGCGCTATCATGCATCCAGTCTGACTTGCGCCACAGAATTGCCAGGCGCCCAGGCTCGGAATGGCTTGACAACCGGTGCCAGGTGGCATTCAACAGTGTCATCAAATGTGATGAAGGAGGGTGGGTGCTGATCGAAGACTTGGTGAGGCATGAGCCACTATGGACCCATGAAAGCAGACGCATCACCGAAGGGGTCTCAAGGACCGATGACCAACAGAAGAAGAGAGTGTACAATGAAAGACTTCAGCTATTGTTCCAGGGGAACATGATTGCAGCCACGAAACGCAACAAGGCCAAGATTCGGTTGCAGTTCCTGGGTGTGAGAGTGAAGGACCCCGGCACGGAAGTTCTTGGATCAGCAGGTTCGAACATGTTGGTATCAGTTCGGGACCAGATCGCAGAGATCCAGAGCAACGACCATTGCCGACATGGCCAGAGGTACCTGAACCTATGCAACGGCTGGGTGAAGCCATGGGCAGTTCGGGCTACGAGTGGTCACTCTGCGCATTCAGATCCCCAGAACAACTTGCTTCAGTTGGACAAGAACAGGTTTGCAATATCTCCATCTATGACCCTCTTGCAACGTCTTGGAGGTGCATTCCACGCTACGGCATGCCGCAACTTGGATTCCATTGTCACGCAAGGCATCATGCCTGGTTCGGAGGACCCCGACGGGGACTTTGACCATCGGCGCCAATTCCGAGGCAACCAAGGCGGCAGACTCCACAGCTATTGGGGGGTGTTTGCGCCGTTCGATCACCGGAACGCAACGACCAAGATGCGAGTACACGGACGAGACGCCAAGCATATGCCATTGGCGGTTCTTCATGTCCCATCGCAAGATCTTGCACGAGAGGATGGACGTATCACAGACAGCGGCATCATGATCGTTGGTCGGACGATACCTTTCCATTTCGTCAAGGAGGTATGGTTTTGCGTCCCTGATCCTCGAGATACACACTCTTTCGCTCTGGTGGAAAAGATCTACGATGAAAGGTTGGAGAAAGAGCTGGTGTTGGACTACAATGCATCACCGTTGCTTCCCGAGTTCGAGAGATACCGAACGCCAAGCAAGATCATGGAATTGCTTTGCGAGATGCCTCCTGGACCCCACGACACAAGCAAGGAGCAGATCATTCGTGACCTCACAACTGTCTTGGAGTCCCACAGGGAGAACACGGTTCGGCATCACTACATGGACAAGGGAATCAAGTTTGTCATCAAGAATTGGCGACCCGAAGACCTACGCAGAGACGAGGATGGAAGGAGAATGAGGGTATGCCCGGCATGCTACAACATTGTTCCAGCATGTTTCTCCCGATGCACGTCTTGCTGGTCACAGTTCATTTCAAGCGGATATTATCAAGGTTCTCCACAACGGGATACTCCTACGGAGATCCCCAGTGACTTCATTGCTCAGACAATGGAAGCCGCAGCAGCCGCAGTGCCTGAGGCGCCCGAAGAGGAGCAGGAAGCCATGGAGGTAGAGACCGTTGCGGAACCTGAAGAAATCCCAGAACCGTCTGTTGTCGCGGAAGACGATCCAGAACAGGAACCTGATGAAGAAATGGACGTTGAGCCTGAAGAGGACTTTGATGACGCAGTTCCGGAAGCAATCGCACAGGAACGTCGTCCCGTCTTCCTTACCGGCCAGTCTTTGAACATCGATCCTGAACTACAACTTGCACGTACCGCCATGCAGCCATCCTACTATTCTGGAAAGCGAAATGCCCATTGCATTGACGCGAACATGACCGCTCTGTCGTACATGGCATACGTGGTATGCCGATCCATCTACAAAGCTTGGTCAGGATTCGCAAAGTGGGCGACTATGCCGTTGTTTCAGATGAAGGAAAGTTTCGCACTTGGCCAACGCTATGATGTGCTTGGAAAGTGGGGATCTTTGGCAGCAGTGGACAAGGAAACGGGTGTTAGCAGGGACGTGACTGATGAGGAGATCATTCGCTTTGCGAAGGAACCTGAGAACCTCAAACAGTATGATCCCAACGGGACTTACACCTTGAAGCGCTTCCGGACGAATCAGATGCTTTCTTTACTTGTACGGGGAGCCAACATGATGGGAATTGGCAGGGACAACTTCAGCCCTACTACTTACTTGAAGAGCGACAGGGATGAAGATGTCAAGGCAATGCACTTTTGTTGCCTGAACGTCCTATGCGAGGTGATCCCAATGGTGACGGGACACCAACAATTCTCGGTGCTACGACCAACGCCAACTGGACCAGTGGACTTCTTGTACATCGACCCTGTCGGCATTCTGCTAACTCATTCTGATCAGTCAGTCCAGACCATCGCCTTGCTAGTGGATCACAGCATCCAAATGCCTGCGCACTTCATGGACAGATTGAACAGATCCAAGAATGAGAGACAGCAAAACCCGACGACAAGGCGTACAGAGGCCCTACACCACATTTCGGCCGCTGATTATCTTCCTCCAGGTGGTACTTCCATTCTGGACACGCCGGTCACTACGGAAGAACGTGAAAGCGCTTCTTCATCCAAGGGACCTTCAAAAGGGCGTGGAAGAACCGGAGGCGAACAACATGGTGGCTGGAACACCAATTCCTACCACGACTACATCGCCACCAAAGGCCGAAACAAAGGCAAGGACAAGGGAAAGCCAAGGAACCCATATCCAGAGGAGAACCTCCGGCCCTGGGAACGCGATCCTACGTCAACGCGAAGATGGTGGCGAGACAACGCCTGATCTTCCTCGCCTATCAGTTCGTGACCTCTGAGCTTCGCCTGTGGAATGCCATCGCGAATGCTTCTTTCTTCGGTGACGCCTGATTCGTTTGTCATTTCAGGGGATCGTTACTGACGTAGATGAGTGTCACAACGTTTCTAATTGGGATACAAAGCTCTGATTTTCAATGTCAATGTTGCGGCGGAATTTTCTTCTGTCCTATCGTGCCATCTTCCGGGTGAGCAGCGTCGGAGACGCAACTCATGGGGGGTGCGAACGGACTGCGATGCCTTGTCAAGTTCTAAGGTGTCACTATAAGAGCTGTGAGCAAGACCGTGTAAAGTGCAGGAGAAGGGGGCACGCTACGCGTCCCTCGACTCTAGGGGGCATGCTACGCATCCCTCGTCTTTACCTTTCTATGTGACCGCCAACGCAACGTTTGGCTCAAGTCAATGCCCATAGCTAAGTGCTATATGTGTCTTCTATCCTGAGCAATCAGAGCTATCCCGTTGCACAGACGAACCGCCGCCGGCAGTGAGTGCAAAAGGAACGGCCGCCGGTTCTGCCTGCATAGGATCGCACGTGTGGAAGTACGAGAGAGAGACAGGGTCCAGTTTGTGGAGAGTGCTAGCCAGCCACACCTATATTCATTACAGCTCTGGTGGGGAGAGCAGCAACCAAGTCGAGATCAATCCCCCACGCAGTTTTTGTTGCAGGGTTGAGCTAGCCGCTAGCCACGGCTCCTGTGAAGGTTTGGCAGGGGATGCAGGTTTATCAAGGCGCACACGTGATCCTTGCGAGAAGTACTAGTAGCCTCAGTAGCCTTGCAGGCTCCCCGCAGTTGGACTCACATCGAGTCAGGAACGATACCAGAGCACAGTGATGCGAATGGATTGCAAGCAACCAACTTCCCAGAAGAACTTTGACAACCTAGTCTGAGGTCACTGACGCTTGAGGGCAAACTGGTCTCACCAGTTTTGTTCTGTCGCCTTCCGTGAGTAGGACCGTGTTTTCTTCGTTCATCTCCAACTCGTCATCGCTCCGTGTATTTCGTGCTTTGCATCCGACTTACGGAAGGCGTTTCCTTAGTGCACCCACTTTCCTTGCAAGGCCGGCAGCCCCATTTGCGGGACGGTCGACAAAGGCGGCAGCACTTGTGACCTTGTCGCCGGCGGCTGCCGAGTTCCTGCCGGAAGGCGCGGGCTGGCGGGGGGGAGGGGGCGCTTTTTGGCTCTGTTTTCCCTCTGTTCTGAGGCGATGTGCAGCACTGGGGATGGAATGTCAGGGCCTCAGACGTGTGCTGCCACATCTGCTGCCAACTTTCTGAGCTCTGCCCAGGGCTCCTGGAGCCATGGGAGCTCCTGGACAGGAGAAGCCGCTTCTTGGGGCCCCTTTCTCGTGCGAGCAACATCATGTTGAAGTGCGCTATGCCAGGAGGGAGCTGGACTCCCAGCCAAAGCCAAAGACGGGGACCCAAGAAACGAGTTTCTTGTCTCAGCGTCGGAGACAACCGTGCCAGGTTACCCTTCCGCCAATGGCGGAAATGTAAATAGCTGGACAGGCGCTGGACTCAAGCAGTATCATGCGATGCATTGATCACTGGCCTGACGGCAGCTTAGGAGTTGCTTCGTCGCCCACGTGCTGGTTTAACGACGACGCATACTCCACAGAGTGACTGGCTTACTGGCTTGGCCAGTCATGCAGCCCTATCTGCGCAACATTCGGTGTGTCATTCATTCCTTGCCTGCCGGCTCTCTGCCAAGTTCCTCTCGAAGTGACTCGGAGCCAGAAGCCGACGAAGCTGACGATGGTGCCCATGGAGGCACATGGTGAGCTTTGGGTTCAGCTGCCAGCACTGGGGCACTGCCAAGGTCCTGTTGAGGCCTCCGGCGGCGCCTGCGGCGGGATGCCTCAGTGCCTGCATGCTGCTGTGTTGCACGAGGCGAATGCATTCCTTTCCGATAGGTCCTGAGCTCCACGGTCTGAATGCCGGACTCACAGCGTCGTCTTTTCGTTGTGTAGCTCAAAAGATTCCGCGCAGGCCCAGGCAGACAAGGAGCTGGCGGACGATGATGAATTCGACTCATTTTCCGAGGCTCGTGCTGGAAACTTTGTCTCTTGCGGAAGGCTTTGATAACTGTCGGATTTGGGCCCACGCAGCAGAAGAAGCTTCTCTTGCGTGGACCTCCTCGAAAGTGCAAGAGTTGTCGCGTTAAAAGTCTCTGTTCGGAGGACGATGGCACGGATGCCAGTCTTCCACGCACGCCAGCCGATGTCAATTCAGACACGGAAGCTGGCTGTGCGCATGTACCTGACACCGTCTCAGAGATCCCAGCCTCGTCGTCACGCGATGATGGAGGCCAGTCGCTGGCTACTGCCACATTATGTTTGAAGGTTATTCTTGTATCGGACCACCAACCGCCAGCAAGCAACCACCCACCCACCACCAAGCACCAACCACGAGGAACAAGAAGAATAACAAGAAGAAGAACAAGAAGAAGAACAAGAAGAAGAAGCAGAAGAATAACAATAATAACAACAAGTTGAATCACAAGCAGCAGAACAAGAAGGATAATTACAGTAAGAAGAACAAGAAGAATAATAAGAGGAATATCGAGAATAATAACAACAAGAAGAATAGGAACAATAAGAATAACAAGAAGAATAACAATAAGATTGATAAGAAGAACAATAATACCAAGACGACTAACAACAATAACAATAACAATAACAGTAACATACAATAGCAATAGCAAGACTAATAATAGTAGTAAGAAGAATGACAAGAACACGAATACCAAGAATGACAATAAAAACACCAACACCTATGCCAGCACCAGCACCATCCAGCACCAACAGCAACAGCACCAGCAACAGCAACAGCTACTAGTACAGAATCAGCAACAGCAACGGCAGCAGCAACAACAGCAACAACAATAACAGCAACAGCAACAACAGCAACAGACGTAGCAACAGCAACCTCAGCAACCGCAGCAACCGCAGCAACCTCAGCAACCTCAGCAACACCAGCAACAGAACCAACAGCAACAGCAGCACCAGCAGCACCAACAACACCACCACGACCACCACCACCACCACGACCACCACCACCAGCAACAACAACAGCAACAGCAACAGCAACAGCAACAGCAACAGCAACAGCAACAGCAACAGCAACAGCAACAGCATTTCATTCATTCACACGCAGCGGGGGAGGACTGTCTGTGGTGAAACTTATCGTCCACGCTTTGCGAGGGATCGACCTAGTGCCCTGCTTACTACTTGCGCGGTCACTCTTCACGGCAAGCCGTGCCTCAGCGCTGCACTTGCACACGTTCCGCCCCTCAGGGCTGCAAGCTGTGAAGTGGGAAGCGAATGTGTCTTCAGAGTCTTATGCGGCGTTATGATTTCGGCACTAGCTTGAACGCTAACCGGCTTGGTTGCGATGTATCACTGGCTGATTGGCAGCAGATCATTTTGCACTCAGCTGCTGGGGAGAAACCCCACCAGCTGTACACACATGGCAAGGGGAGAAACTCCTCCGATTGTTGGGGAGAGTCTCCTCCTAAGGGAGCATCTCCGCAAGGCGTCTGGCTCAGGAAGAGGCTGCCATGAGACGATCTTGTCCCTGCTGAGTGTTGCCACTGTTCCCATTTTGGTTTCTGGCTGCTCCATTCCCTCGGCCTCCGCTTCCTCGTCCCCTGCTTTTGCCCCCTCGCTGTTGTCCTCTGCCTCGTTGCTGGGGAGTACCTCCACCACGCTGTCGCTTCAGGGGAGAATCTCCACCTGACGGACCTGCGTCTCCCCGTTTAGGGGCAGAGCTCTCATCCATCGATGCTCGCTGGAAGAGCTCTTGCAGAGACATTACTCGGGAGATTGGCTACGTCCTGGGGCTCGTGAGAGACGGCGCTGCGAGCTAGGAAGATGACGTAGCTATTTTCTTGAAGCAGGGGATCTTCGAGGGTACAGGGACTAGGGGGGTGGGAGTCATCACCAACATACCAGGCATCTGCTGTGCGTACAGCTGCACGGTAATGGCCACTAGTGGACTCCATTCCTAGGTGAATGATCACTGCCTCTACTGTGTAGGTACAGAACGAAACTCGGGATGTGTGGTCCAGGAAGACAGGGATCTGGACTTGCTGTGGGATTGTGATGCGAGTGTGATCCTTAGCTTCACCTGCGAATCTCGGCAAGGCTAAGCACACCTGCTGTGCAGCTTCTATGAGAGCACATGAGCGCTCCTGAGACGACCATGCCACTAGCATGTCCTGTAGGTTGGTCTTGATCGCCGTGGCAAGATGAATGGGAGAGCCCCCTTCTTCGTCCACTATCACGCCTTCCGGTACTGAGGCTCTAGTTTCCCACTGTCCAAATCTTGATGCAGAGAGATTCCGAAACACTTGCTGCAGGAACTCAGCAGAGTCGTGCTGGCCTCCGTCAAAGAGCCAGCCCATGGTGAGCTCCGAGAAGACTCTGTGTTCAGGGGTTATTCTCGCAAGCTGACTGATCCGGGATGCCTCTTGGAAAGTCGCCTCTGAAGGATCTGATAGCCAGTGGAGACACTGCAGACCTGAGTTGGCATAGCAGTGGTTGCGAGTATTGGCTAGCAGGAGAAAGCCTTCCAGTCTAAACACGGGGTGAGGAATTCCTGGCGTTGAATCTGAAGGCTTCTTTGTGACTGTCTTCGCCGATGCCGTGGACTTTGCTCGAGTATATTCGCGGGGCTGCTTGCTGAGCTGCTGGCGCGCTACCTCCTGCAGTACGTGCACCTGCAGTAATGGAACGCACTGCTGAGCATGTCTACCCGGGGCATCCACACGAAGTTTGCAGTATCGACAGCTATCTCCTTTGTGGAAGAAGACCTTGAATTGATTGAGTCTTGGTTGGAGAGTTTTCTCCAGCTTGGCCATCACCTCAGGATGCTGCTTGTTTAAATGCTGTTTGGCTCCTTTCTGGCCTACGAGGACCTGACCACAGAGTGCGCAGTGTTCCATCAGGTAATCATGGAACGCCGGATTTCGAGCGGCGCCTTCTGGATTGTCCTGGGCATCAGACTGTAGACTTTCTACGAGTGAGATCCGGTTCTGTGCTTCTAAGGGTAGCTCTTCCTGCTGTCTAAGCAAAAGCTCTACCCTAGGGCAGGTAGATGCTTCGACATGTTTGCGCAGATAAAACACTGTTCGGAATGTTGCTCGACAGGCGATGCAAGTTGCTGACCCTGGCATTGAATGCAAAATAGGATCAAATTTGGGTCCTTTCAGGCACTGCTGAGAATCTGGGTGAGCCTTCTGCAGGTGGCGACGGAGTGCTCCGGTGCCAGAGAGACATGCTCCACATTCACCGCAGGTCAGAAGCCTATCCTCCACATGGTGCGAGGAGAAGTCCGTGGAGAGGCCTTCCAATGCCTGGCTAACTGCCTCAGCACGCAACTTATAGTGTGGGAGAAGCTGGGGATCGGAGTGTTGCTGTCTCTTTATAAACTGGGTCATTCTCTTTTGCAGCTGCTCCTTCACGTGAGGAATCCGTAATCTCCGGAGTAACTCCTGGTTTGATTCCTTCGTTTCCTGGGAGTAACTCCGCAGGACGAATCTGAGTTGGTACATCATGTGTGAATGGAGCTTTTGCAATCCCTGCTGTGTCATCCCCACCACGTGGAGTGCATACAGAGCAGAGGCCCGCGCAGTTATTGTCCAAATCGACAGACGACGTCTGTCTGATAAGACTCGGTGGTTCCGAACTGCATGGGCTACTTCTGACATTGCAAGCTTACTGGATGACAGCCGATGTTTGAGAGTCTTCATTTCATAGTCGTGATAAGAAAGAATGACCCCCAAGTATGGGACCTGATAGCGCAGCGATATCAGCCTGCCCGAAGGGAGTTCAACATACTTCTCTCCCTCGACCTGGCGAAAGAGTTTCTTCCTAATGGTCGAGGCTGAGCCCCCTTGCAGCTGTAGCAGAATTGCTGACTTGGACGGATTGACCTTGAACCCAAGCTCTACCAGCTGATCCAGAAGCAGGTCGCAGTACCCTAGTGCTGTCATGAGGCCGGCCTCAGAGTCGAAATGCGACTGGATCAAGCTATCATCTGCGTACATTGTGAGGAGCTTCACTAGTTCTGCTGGGCTGATTTTCCCAGAGAGCTTCCTAAAGAGAAGCCCTGATGCAAAGGCGAATAAAGAGGGTGCTAGCTTACATCCCTGCTTGATTCCCCTGCGTGTGGCTATCTCAAAGCTCTGATCGCTGGCTGTCATCTTATACAAGGCTTTGATGTGGAGATGGCCTACCACCTCTATCAGAAGAGGATCTGCTTGTTCGGCTTCCAGGGCCTCTCTTAATCGCAGCCTGTTTACAGTGTCAAAAGCTTTGCTCATGTCCACGCTCATGGTGAGACTGCCTCTGAGCTTGAGCCCCTGTTGTCCCTTACCTGCAGCCCTAGTGGTGAGGGCCTGTCTGAACCTGGCCTGGTCCACATGTGTGAGGGCCTTGCAGATAGCCTCCTCTGTGCCCCTGCCTGGGACAAAGCCGAACTGAGAGACGCCGGTCATTGCTAGCTGGAGGGTAGACTTGAGTCTCTTCCTCACGAGTCCGGCTAGGACCTTACCCTCAGGTGCTATCACCCCGATCGGACGGAGTGAGGTTGGTTTGTCTGGCTTCTTGGGAGGCTTTGGGAGCCAGGAGATCTGTGACGAGGTGACACTGTCCGAGAGCCTTCCTGCAGTGACTTCCCTATTAAGGGTGTCCGAGATTAGCCGGATTGCTGGGGGACCTAGGGAGCGCCAGGCTACTACGGGAGGACTCTCTTTAGGAACCGCCTTGCCCAGCTTTATTGTGCCAAGCTGTTCTTGCACTTCTTGCTCAGTGATGTGCAGGCTGCCTTGTATCCCTGAAAGCGGGAAGTCATCCCCTGCTCCAAACAGGTCTAGGGAATATTCCTCTAATTGTCTTCTTTCTTCCTTGGCAGTAAGGAAGCGACCCTCAGAATCACGAAGCTGAACTCTTTCCTGGGGCCTCCCCGACCTGAAGCGCTTGATTACCTTGTAAAGGGAATGACTCCCGTCCTGCTTGGACTTAAGCTCTGCCTGCTGGAGTTGTTCATCTATTTCCTGCCGCCGCCGCTCCTGCTTGTGACGCTTTGCTACCCTCGCCTGTGCACTTTGCTGGGAGAGCGAGCACCAGCATCGGAACACCATACGGACCTGCAGCTCGGGCAAGAACTCTGCTAAGACCTTGACTGCTAGTGGGAGTGAGCGCAACACAGAGCGCTCTTCCCAGATGCTGAGATCTGATCTTTGTGCTGCTTCCTTTCTCTTGGGAAAGTGAGTCGCGAGGGCTGAGTTCATTGCTTGATGGAGA